TCACCGATTTGAACGACAGGATTTACCTGTAATGCAGTCTCTAAAACTTTCAGTTAATCCTTTAAACAGAATTTAATTTCCAATTAAGCTTTAATAATACATTTCTAATTTTAATCTGCACTCGTTTTGCTGCTTAGTAGCCTCAACATGCTAAAGAGAAAGCTTTCTGAAGTGAAAAGCTAAAATTTGTAAGAAAGCTTGGTATGGAAACTGCAAGCCAGCAAAAGAGCAGTTATCATGAAATCTTACTTCCTGTATTCATCAGATCTCTGAGGGTTTTTTTATCAAACGGACACTCCACCCTTTTATTACGGTTATCGAAATCAAATTTTGATGTATTAAAAAGGGCATTTTGAAAGAAACCGTTATAGAGGATTTTGATTGCCTTAATTCCAGCGTCAGATTTGCTGTCCAGTTACAGTTAAGTTCTGACCAGAAGTTTGTAATTGGCCCAGAATTTTCTGGGAATAATTTAGAGAAGTTGAAGTGTTGAATTTTAATAAATGCTGCCTTTGATTCCCATCTGCATATTTTGGACACTTAGAAAGACTGTAGGAAAACTGGACATGCTTTAAAGGATATGTTTGTCTCCCCTCTTTTTTTTCTCCCCTCTTTTTTTTTTTTTTTTTAATTTTTTATTGTATAACTTGAATCTCTCCCTACAAACACAGCTGTATATCCAGAAAACTTTAACCCAGTCTAAATGGAAAAATTGAGGTGGTTCATATAAATGGGTTCACATAAAAGCTAGTGACTGGAACACTGTTCAATTGTTAGCAAGTCATTAATTGTGTTAAGTCTTAATGTTTTTGATTTCTTACCAAAGTTGTGTGTGTCCAGTTCCATTAACCAGAGTAGGATCATGTCATGGTACTCAACTGTTAGCTAAGTCAGAATTGTAATTGCTTGCAAATTCCTAATTACTACACGGAAAGGTAACGATTCCTTTCCTGTTTGCTGTAAAGGTGCTGCTGCTGCCTCACAGGTTGTTATTCTTACACCTTTCCAGAAATATATTGATTTTAACATAGCTTCAAATTCGGTGAACCAACGGCATGTCAGCCTTCTGTTTGGGGAACATTTGCAGCTATTCTAGAAAACTGCTTCTGCAGAAGTATATGATTTTTAATGCTTAAATTGGGTTTTAACTTAAAATCTTCATTTTTACTTTAAGTAGCATAAGAGAAATGCTGGTGGAGGGAAAATTACAGATTCAGTTAGGATCTGTCATTTGGGAAACACTTCTTCTGAGCAAGAATGCTAAGCAGAAATAAAATGGTTTAACAAGCAAAAGCTTTTTCCTTACCAAAAGCTTTCTCAGGAAACAACTGGAATATTTAGCAGTATTTTCAGCTGTCAGGGACCTATGATCTTGGCCACATAATGAATACACGGAAAAGCTGTAATGTAGAGTCACTAAGTTCTCATGGTTCAAGAAATTAATATTTCTGGTGTACACTAAGTAAATCATTATTGTACTTCACCATCTAAATTCGTATAGGAAGCAAATTGGCACTAATTGAATCCAATCCCAGGAGATAAAGCTAGAGTTGTCATGAGACTTGTTAACATTTTAAGAGTAATCTGAATTTTTCTATCAAGAAAAGGCTTTTTTTTCTTTTTCTTTTAAAATAAAACTCCACAATCCCCCTCTTCAAACCTAATCCCCAAACTCAAAATGCGCAATATACTGACTTTACCTCACAAGGTGGTTTGACAGGAAAAGGAGGAAATGTTCATTTTAGTCACAACCAATGTCTCTCTTCATTTTCAGTGCTGTTTTTCTTTGTGCACGGGTCCCCTTAGTAAGACTCAAAACTCCTTGAGTTATCTCAAAGCACGACAGTGAAATTTGCAGGGTTTTTTTCTGATCCTCTGCTTTGAAAGACTTGGGCTGGTTTTGCTTGAGGTCTCCTGTTGGAAGGACAGCAAGGTCCAATGTCACAGTATTTAAAAATGCTTTCTTGCTGGCTAAAAAGGAGATTTGAGGCGCTCGGCAAACTGGCCTGCTCTGCGTCCTCGTGATCTTCACAGATTGCAAGTGGCAGTTGTTGATAAACCGTGTAGTCTGGGGGCCGCTCGCTGTTAAAAGGCAGGGGCTGCAGAGAGGAACAAACCCAGATCTGCGCGCTGGTGTAATGATAGATGAGAGCAATAACAAGCAATCAGTTTTCTTATTTTTGGCACGGATCTCCAGAAGTGTTTATCGAAGGTAGTGTTACTAAAATTAATGGTACTGCAAAGCCATTTAACGAGCTCGTTTTTGAGAACTGCTTTAGTTCTTGATCTCTTGTGTTTCCTCATTTCCACGTTTAACGGCAGTGGAAAGACAAATGGTCATGACCTCTGTGTTACATTATGCTTTGGGGTAGGTAGATACTGGGGAAGGCCAAAACATTAAAAAAATGTAAAGCAACCCCCCCTTCTCCCTGGGCGTCTTGTAGTAGGTTCTTTAAAAGAAGCCAACACCTGTTGAAATAGTTACTTCAGTGTTTGGCACAAATCCCAAGCAAGCCTTTTTTTAACAAGAAAAACATATGTAGGGGCCAGGCAAAAAGCACAACTCGTTCTGATACTGTGCTTTTAGTGATCTGCAGCTCGGAGTTAGAGGGGCTGTGACTCATTACGTGATACCGGCGCAGAGCATTTCTCTAATTTCATATATTGCTTAGAGAGCACTGGATTGTAATTGCGTGTCAAAAGATTGCAGAGGAAGAGTGTGAGGGGGCCTTTCCTGCTTTTTAGGTGGGATCTTGTTGCACCGTTTAATACGGCACGCCGTGGATATTTTATAAGTGTTTGGGCTGAGGGGATTTATCTGCCCTTTGGTTGGGATCATCAGCCGCTTCGTGACAGGTATCCTGCCCGAATATTGAGGCTGCTGAGAGCGTCTGTTCCGTAGAGAGGTTTCGTCTCTCAGAGCCGTCTCATAAGTTTTGGATTAATTCAGTCCCTTGGCTAAAGCATGAAGATTTTGGCTGTCTGTGCTTGGAAATTGGTGGCTTCTAGGGCAGATTCTGTGAATAAAGGGTATTTGAGTTGCTTTCCTAGGGATGGTTTTAAAGTCGGAAGAATGCAGGCGCTGCTTTCCTCAGGGTGATCTTGTTTTCCTGTCCCCTGTTTAGGGACTCCTCTAATACATACCTGCAAGTGTCGCGTGATACAGGCAGGCTCCTGCCTTTTCTGTGTCCTGGCTTGGTGCTAGCAGTGTGCAGGGTGGCATCTTCACTGTCGACACCGCTCAGCGTCCCTGCGTGTGGGGTTACCGTTGTGCCAGAGGACTCTGCGTGGCTCGCCTTGTCAGCGCGGAAGGTGCTAGCTCTTCCTCTGCTTTGCTGGAAACGTCTTCACTCAACCTCAGGGCCTTTGTGGGGAAGCTGTAGAGGCCGAGCCACTCATTTCCATCCTGCTGTTTCCTCTGCTTGAAGAAAGTGTGAAGAGAAAACCCCCGTGTAAACACCCAGTTTTGAAGATGCCGCGTTTTCTAGTACTCTTCTAAACTTTGCTCTTCAGAATTCTGGCATTGCAAGGCAAAGGCTTTCGGATCTATTTGAATGAAACCAAACCAGATTTGTTGATGTACACACTACAGTACCTTAGCAACCAACCTGCATCTAGTCCAAGAGCTGAACATTTAGTCTTTAAACAATTCTTTGCTACCAATCTAGGAGTGTTCTCGCATTTCAGAGTGCAAACCCAGCACTGTGAGGAACAACATGCGTTATAAAACACGTACTACTCCACCGTGGGAGGAGAGGGGACTTATGTAAGCTCATTTCTTTGCTATATTAATTGCAGTTTATTGAGTCCTTGGAAGGTGCATCCCTGGGAGCAGGATTGTTGTGTTCAGATGATTGCAAATTCTGCTTTATCAGTGTAAAATAGGGCTACAGTGTCAGCGTGGTATTAAATCTAGATGTGTTGAGTGGGAACGTTAGAGAAATGGATGAGAAATGATTTTAAATACTAGTGCTACTAAACTGAAAAACTGAGAAAGGCCACTAATAAAAGATTAATCAAAAATTGTTGGTCTTATTAATGAGCTGTTGAGACAGTATAGTCTTCTGAAAGAAGTGACAATAAAAATAAGTTGACATTTAAGTAGAAAAACACCAGCTTTCTCTCTTGCATGCTTTTTTCTACACCAGATCTGTACACAGCTATGGGAAAGCATACTAGAATATTTCCATAGAGAGGTGTCATTCAGAACTGAAGAGCAATAGCTGGCAGTTATTGAAGCTTTGCAGACTGTCACATTGATTTTCATCTATACCTGTTCAGTAAGGAATTGTTTGCTGATTGTTTTTTCTTTGGTTGGTTGGGTTTTCTTTGAAACGTGTCTGTCTGCCCTTTCTACAGGGCTTTTCCTGGTACAAGAAAACAGAGCACTTACCTAAGCGTGGAAAGCTACAACTTGCTGTAACATCTCTGTTACCTAGGTTGCTAAAAGGTTGAATGTTTCGTTAAACAGTATCCTCAATATACTAAATTAAGATGACTTTCTTATGTGCGTGGCACACACATGAACAGCTGGCTAATTTTGGTATTAGAGTCATGATCAGACTGACACAGATTTTTTACGTCCCAGTTTTCAGAGCAGCAGGTGACCTAAGAACCGCGTGGTTTCACATGGTGGTGATTTGTTGAGCATGGAATACAAGCACTGTCTGTGAAGTTGATTTTTCTTCCATCTCTTTACGCTGTCACTCAAGACCTAACGTGGCAGTTTGTCAGCCGTGCTTTGTGGAGCAGGTTGACATCCACTCGCAGCAGTTGAATTCGTGCTGTTTGTAGATGGTATCCATTCTCGGCGATAACGGACACGGTGTCAGGCTGAGTCAGTTAAAACAGCTGAAAATTAAACGAGTTGCCTTTACACTTTCCTCCTCCTTTTCTTTTAGCTACAGCTGCAGAAAACCCAGTATTTGCAGCTGGGACAGAGTCGTGGCCAGTACTACGGTGGGTCACTGCCAAATGTGAATCAGATTGGAAACAGTGCCATGGATCTCCCCTTCCAGGTGAGTTTAAAAGGCTGTTTCCTTCTGTTTGTTGATTAATGCTGTGCCTGGATGCTTTGTTTTTCCTCGCAGGGGGCCACGAACAGGCTGCTGGTTCAGCATTGTGGCCTCAGCAGATCACTCTTAAAAATTTTTGCTTTTTTGGAACGGAACATACTTGTGTATGGGATGTGGGGATATCTGTTTTTGTATTGTATATATCTAGTGTTAGATAATAGTTCTCCTGTCCCTAGTCATGCTGCTTTCGTGTCACAGATATGCAGAAGCAATGCAGTTTCTCTGTGAGTGAATATTCATGGTGATGGTGTGTTTTTTTTTGTTCAGTACCAAGTTCATAACAAAGTCTTCTGTGAAGATACTGTAGACTCAGAGCAAAAATGGAAGCAAATAATGCAAGGTGATGTAGCAAGTGCTGGGAGACAGGGGTGTGGAAGAAGGTACCCCATGGCAGCAGGAACGTTCCGTGGGGACAGTGCATGGATTTCAGGAGAGGAGAAAGGGAATCAGGACACAGGCCGGGATCAGGATAGTCACTTTCCCTTGGTCTGATTAAAGAGCAAATGTGGAAATGTACTGGCTTTTTTTTTTTCCCCTGTAGTTGTGACTCCAGAGGTAACGCACTATAAACAGAAAGTGAGTGTTTTATATGAGTGTTTTGCTGTTAGCAAGCGTGTTTGAACGCAAGGTGTTGTGTAGTGGATAGGGTTAGGTGGTGGATACTTTTGCGACTCCTGATTTCGATAGTTAATTGATTTAGGGTGCTCAAAGTAATTAAAATTTCTGTATTAGTTTTCATTTTTTGAGTAGTAACATTTACATTTTATCTCACAAGGATGTGGTAAGAATTACATGTTCCAGTTTGTGGTTTTCTGATGAAGGCTGGCTTAATAAATACAGAGAAACTATTGATGACGTCCTCTAACTATGCCTTTCGAAATACATGTAGGCAGCTGAATTTGTGGAGGTTAAAAGCTTGGATCTTGTGCAAGAGGAGACGCTAATGTCTATTTTAATCTGGTTGCCTTTAGGGAGTACAGTGCAGAGGTTTGTAACATTGTGAAGTCCTTAACATTACTCCACAAGTGTCTGGTCTCTTCAAGATTTTGTCTTTAGTTTCTTGTCAAGGATGTTCATAGTTACTGTTCTTTTTAAGTAGTAGTATTTTTGTGCTTGATGGCCATTACTAATGGTTATTACATAGACTCTTTTAGTCCTGAAGCTAACAGAATGCTTGAAAGTGACTATTCAAAAAATTATGACTGACTAGAGGAGGATGTGGAGACAAATTGACCTTAACCAGGTTCTTAAATATTTTTTCACGCACACACAAAAATCCAAAGCTGATACTGTTACAGATGTCAACTCATGGCAGGCAACAAAATAAAATCATGTATTTGTGTCAGTGATGAATGCTTTCCAGGTTTTTCAATTTTAGGCTAACGTGTGATAAAATTGCTAAAAGATACTTGTACAAAGTGCCGATCAGGTGCAGCCTGTCTGGTTGGCTCTGGTGAGAGCGTTGGTGTCTGAGAATCTTGGTTCTTTGCATTTACAGCACAACGGAGCTCTGGCAGAAGCCTTTGGAGCAGTTCCTGTCTCTTTGGTAATCAAGTATTTAGGTTTGTGCAAATACGTATTTAGGACTGGTGTACTGTTTGCCCAGGTAGATACGTATTTTAGCACATGTTACACTTCTGATATGCACAGTATTTATTTGATTCACCGTCCCAGCTCCGAAGGAGTTATGGTCTGTCACATAAATACAGGTTTTGCCATGCATCCCCGTTTCGAACATGCATAAGAATTCCTGTTCAGACTCCCTGGACTTGCTGTGGTCTGTCATGTGATTACTTATGATTTATGGGGGATTAATTTGATGTAGACGGTGGTTTATTTGGCACTGTCTTGGCCTGTGATTTAAGCAGTCTCTGAGCATGTGCGCTTAGCCTGCATGTTAAACTCCATGGGGAAAGGCAGAATGATGACCCGAATGCTGCTTGTCACCAAGGGGCACCGAAACGTAAGCTGCCAGTAGGTACCACTCCTCGCTTTCCCCTCATCTGCCTTGCTTGTTTTTGTTTCTCAAGTCAATGTCTGGATAAATCTTAAAGGGACACTGTTGCTTTAGGGCACTGAACTTTTTCCTTCCTGTCTGGTTTTTTTTTTTTTTTTTTTTTTTTTTTTTTTTTTTTTTTTTTTTTTTCCCACTGTTTTTTTGAGTTTTGGTTCTAATCTCAAATCCTTGAATGTTTTTCAGGGAAGTGAAACATAAAATTGATGCTCATATCTGGTGGGTTTTTTTCCGTCACAGTTGTTTACTGTAGTGCAGTATCCTGTCCCCTGCAGGGATGGGGGTTTTAATGGAGGTGCATTGCCTGATGCTTGGGCCAGAGTAGGTTTCATGGGATGGTTGCTGAGAGAAGCCAGATCTGTTGGAGGTGATACCCGTTTTCTCAAACGTTTGTATTCTTTTTTGATTTCCGTAAGAAAGTTAGGGATTCGCTTGGGATCTTTGTTCCTGGAAAGTCAGAGAATAGCATTGCCCAAAAATTCCTCACTGTGAATTGTAGCCCTGTGCAGGACATGGTCTGTGTTTACTTGTGCCACTGTTGTGCTCAAATTAGATTTTTTGTTGCATTTTTGTATGCAATTTGTACCAAAAAAAGGGGAAAACTTAAGAAAGAACTATTTTTGCATTCAAATTTTTACCTGTATACTCATCTGCATTGGCTTCCTTTTAAATTCCAGGTGAGGTCTGCATTCGGTATGCTTCAGACCGGCTTCTCCTTATTTAGTAACATTGTGGTTGAGACCACTGACAGAGGAAATTGCTTCTCCTGTTGACCTTCCAAGCATGCATGTATTTTCAAGTTTTGCTGCCTCTTGGGGTAGAATTGATGTAACAACAGGACAAAGGAGAGTTTGAGACCTTTTGTTGTTGCTTTGGAATTGTGAATATTCCCAGTTCTGTGTGGTGCTGGTTAAGCAGAACTAGATTTTTGTTTGGTGTTTGCAGCAAAGATTAGACCGACATATTTTAATTTAGATTTCGTAAAGTTGACATGCTATGACTTGAGGTTTCTAAGTCTCCATACAGGAAAGTCATACTTGCTAAGGAACTGGAGCAAAACAGCATGATCTTAATGGGCGAGAGAACAGTAAAAAGTCACTCTGCTTTTTTGCTAGTCCCATGTTGACTTAAGCAATATTCTGCTGCATATAAAGTGTTGGCCCTGAAATGAGAAAATAAACACCACAGCCACTTTGCGTCCGTTTGTATTAACACGGGTTGTGTGTGCACAAAGGAAGAGGAGACTAATATTTGCTAAATAGAAAAGTTTAAAATAGTAGAAAGACTCTTTACAAAGTTATTACAAACAAAACATTTACAAATAAATGTAGAACTTAGAAATAATCATTTAAACAGCCAAAGCTGGACACTTAAAAAAAAAAGGAAAGAAAGAAAAAAGATTAATGTGGAAGCCAGATGGTTTCATGGCTTGGCAGACAGGACAGTGCATTTGCCACGTGCAGCACCTGAATGGAGGAGGAAATTTTGGATTTCCAAACAGATGGTGTTGAGGGACTCAGCAAAGCTGTTCACATTGGCAAGGAGTGGAAGACTGTGTAGCTTTTTTTCCCCAGAGACCCATATATTGCTGTTGAAGTATGAGTAGAGGTTGACCATTCGGTACTTCCTTTTTCCCCCCGCTGCAGGTATACACTGAGAAGGGCTTTTGAAAATGTAGAAGTTTCCTAGTTTAGCCTGGGAATGTATCTTCCCTGTCTTTTCTCTGCCATCCTCGTTATCTGAAATCAGTTGCTGACAAGTAAATGCTTTCAAGATACCTGTGCCGATAAGATTCAAAGTGGAATCAACTCACCTAGGTTCGCTGTGCAACCTGAATGAAATGAAAATCACTTCAAAATATTGCATGCTATAACTTTTTCTAGACAGAGGAGGAAGGAAACTGCTTTTCTTTTTCTTTTAATTCTGTCAGTGTCCCCTTAAAATAATTATTCTGAAAGGAGGAGTGAAAGGAAGCTTTGAGAGAACGTGGCGTGTTCGGTGAATGTTAGGCTCACTGCGCATCTTCTTCCTGCATCTCCTGCCCTTGTAGTTTAAGCTCTGGTTGTCAGCATGTTCCTTCTGGGTGCATGCTGCATGCCACACCGAGGGAATGTAAACAGCCGTTGGCAGTGGGCTCCCTGCCACACTCGTTTGGCGTGGTTTAGAGATACAAAGGCTGGAGAGCAGCGCTGAGGTGTGGGGGGGCAGGTCTGGCATGGTCTGCCTCCACTTGTCTCTGAGCTCTGTCCGGAAGAGATAGCCTTGGTAATGGCTTTCCATGGCTGTAGTGGAAATGTTGCTGGAGGAAAAATTTACATTGTTACACTTGTCCATATCTTTTTTGAGTTTCATTCCTTAGAATAATGCAGCCTTGCATACAATACGAATAGGTTCTGGGCAGACTGCTCGTGCGTGTGTCTTTCTGCTGATAACTTCATGTGTCTCTCTCAGACTCCTTTTCAGTCATCAGGATTAGACACAAGCAGAACAACTCGGCATCATGGTCTCGTGGACAGAGTGTATCGTGACAGAAACCGTCTCGGCTCCCCGCATCGACGCCCTCTCTCTGTGGATAAACATGGAAGACAAATATCCTTTGGTTTATGAGCTGGCAGTGAACACCTACCTTTGTAACAAGATCAGAGTTTTCAGTTTTTACAGTTCCCGTCTTCCTCCCCTCCTCATCTGTCAGCGGAGTTGTTTCCCATCTCTGTGCAGTTAATGTCATCTGCTTTTCCTGAACTGTGGTCTAGTCTATAAATACCTACTATTCTGTAAAGTAAGCGTTTACCTTTGTGTTTCCTCAGCTCTAAGCGGGGATAATGATCCACATGAAACTGAGAGGAACTGAGATCCTTTGAAGGACAAGGCAAGGCAGTCTTGGTGAAACAAAGTTTCCCTTCAAAGCTGAGTAAATCCAAACCAGAATAATTTGTTGCAGTTCATTGTGCATTTTATTACAAGTTGATTCATCAGTTTAGCATTTGCCAAGCGCTGTTTCTTCTTGCCATTTGTGAAAATGAAGTAGCTTGTTATTTCTGACTGGGTTAAAATGTGCTGCAGTCAGACTGGCGTGATGGGGCTAAAGGGGATGTGTGAGTGGGAGAGTGGAGAGATGACGGCTGCTCAGGGAAGAGTTAGATGTTCAGAAAGGGAAAAGGAGGATGGTTGTCCTGTTGCTTAAACATTACAATAATCCAGATAATATTTTGGTTTGAGTGTCCTTTTAAAGTCAGTGTGTTCCCCATAGGGAGTCTGTTTGCCTTCCTCGTATGAGCTTAGTGGTTCTGACAGGTAGTTTTGAATTGTTCCTTTGGAAAAGATTTCAAACAGGCCTCCTACTTAAGTGAGAAAGTGGTGTTCTTCCCCTTAACTGATGGAATCACGTGGACAGCTGTCCGTATGGCACTGTGTATCTGTCACCTCCATCAGACACAAGCTGGAGAAGGTCAGTAGTACAGTAGTGTGCGTGTTAGTATTCGGACTGCATTCTCCGATACTGCAACACTTTCATGTGCAACAAAAGCCTTTAATGTTCCCCACAGCAGCTGGTCATCTGAATTGCCGTGACTTCCTGAATTTCAAAATTGACTTTTTTCTTCTTCCATTATCCTTATTCTTGTAGATGACCTGCTTTTAAACTGAAGGTGTGTCAGCTAATGTGATCTTTTTAAGGGTAAATCTTGCCAGCTGTTCTAAAACATATCCCAGAATTGTGGAGTTGCGCAGAAACTGGGTTAGTCTGCCCTCGCGTGTGTTCAGGTGGGAAGGAGCACTGGGTTGCCTCTTTCTACCCCTCGCGCTCCTGACGTTGGAGGTGCCGAGTTGCCCAAGTGGTGGCCTACATTCCCGAGCGAAGGACAGTTTGTCCCGAGATGTGCTGACCCCGGAGGTTCCCATCTCCACAACATACTTGCACTCTGAACCAGTCTTTTTTCTCCCCCATGAAACAGGAATGCTTTCTTTTCAAAGCCTGGTATAAGTGTGCATAAGTAGCTTTCAACTAAAAAATTGCGTTATTTAATCATGCATAATCTTAACAAAGCATATTAAATTATTTTCTAACTAGAGCAACCAATTTATCCTGTGTTCCTCTCAATCCCATTACTGAAACAATTGCTCTTAAAGCTTTAACTAATTTGTTCTGTGAAGTAATTTTTTCACAAGGAAATTGTGCCTGGTATATGCCACATATAGATTTCAGGTTTTTAATGCAGAGTATTCAGGTTTACAGAGTTGGTTATGTGTAGCTGGGATTAAGCATTCTTTTGTTTAGAGAAACTGACAGTAAAATTTTTTTTGTCTTCTTTTCAGGACAAATTCCGATTCTGCCTTGCACCAGAGTACTATGACTCCAGCTCAACAAGAATCCTTTTCAGGAGGGTCACAGGATATGCAGCAGAAAAGAGGTAAACAGAGAGAGTAAAACTATTTGTAACATGCAAAGCATTGTCCTTCAGAATACACGTATTGGTGTTCATCTATGCCTAGAAATACATCGAAGCATAACACTTTCTGGATTCAGTTACGCGGGAATTGGAACAAAGGACCACCTTTACTCTTCTGGGTACTGAAATCCAGAAAATATTGTACAAAGCTAAGATAGAACATTCTCCTGAACCTTGTATTCTAAGATCTTGCCCTACAGGGAGAAGTAATCTGGGCTTCTGGGACTCTGGTGATTAGCCTGCTCTCAGTGGTACCAGAGGTTTGCAGTTTGTAGTAACTTCCAGACAAGTGTAGAGATCACAGGCATTTCGTGGTGAGTGATACAATCTCATAAAGTAGCGAGACTTCATCTGATTGCTATTTATGGGGTTGAGATCACCGGTGAATACACCCTCAGAGGCAATGCTTACAAACAGTACTCTCCGATAACATTTCTAGTTACAAGCTGGAGCAGTGCAGCCCTCCGGCACTAACAGTGCTGGTGCCCTCTGCTGGCCCTTGCTCCTGCTGCCAGTTCAAGAAATAGATTAAAAGCTCTTAAATCTGTGTAGAGAATTTTAATCCTTAAACAACGACCCAGAGAGAGGTGAACGCGCAACACTCAGATGCATATGCACTGTACTGCAGCTCTTCTGTATACTTCCAGAGCTGTAAAACATTAAATAATGATTCTCTTAAATAGTATTACATAAATATGGATTTATAGTCATCAGTGTGAAAGGCTTCTGTTGATACATCTCTCTGCCTGGGCTGGCCTTTGAGGTTTCTTTGTCACCTTGCTGTTAGCATGATGAAACAGTTGTTTGCTTTGAACAAACAAATGTGCTTGGAATACGGAGAAGTAACAGCTTTACAGTGTTTCTCTGTCCTAGGGGAGATGGTCCGGATTCTTCCCCACTGGAAGTGTCCTTTGGGCCGTGCGTTAGATGTAGCAGGTGTACATCACTTGTGCGAAATAATAAAAAAATAGGAAAAACTAGGGCCCAAGATACTCTTCCGGTTAGATCTAAGCAGACTGAACTGGAGACCAAAATTTTTTGAACTATTATTTAGGTTTTTTGCTTGTTTCAAGATGGGAATGTCTCCTTGCTAATTAAATAAAATTTTAGTCTCTTCTGGTGTTTGGGTTTTTTTTTTTAAATTTTATCTCATAGCAATACAGTTGCCACTGTTTCGTATTTGTTGATAACAGGTTACTTAAGAGTTTTGAAGTAGTTAAACTTCCAATCTGAATATTTCTTTCTGAGAAACTTAATATTATGATATGATTCCTTTTCTTCTCATTTTTTAGTTTTATTACTGACTGTCCCTGGAATGGAGGAAACCACCACTGAAGCAGACAAAACCCTCTCTAAGCAAGGATGGGACACTAAAAAGGTAGGAATCTCACATTTCAAAGTGTAGAGATTTTATTTTCTAAATGTATTTGGGTACATTAATGCTCTAAATATTGTCAACCAAAACAAACTACTTGCAGAGTTTAGAGATGAAATGCTGTATTTAGCAGCAAATCACTAAGCGTTAGGTCAGAAAGGCACTTTGTAGGTATGTGTGCGTGCACATGTTTGATTATATCGAGAGAAACTCTTTAAATTTGAACCTTGTTGGGCCAATAAAGCGAAAAAAGGTGACAGATACCTTCTAAGAGCTTCACAGAGCTCTTGTGTAGAAGAATAGGTCTTGTTTAAAAATGTATTAAATTAAAGAAAACTTACTAATTGAAATGTATCCTAAGCATTAATCTCTAGCAGTATCTTTGCCTTTAAAAATGTCTTCCTTCTATTTTAGACTGGGTCATCAAGACCTAAATCATGTGAAGTTCCAGGAATCAAGTAAGATTTGAGCAATTTTTTTCAAAGAACATTTTGAGATCTTTAAGAAAGAATGTTATATATTGAATGTCCTCTTGCTTTTGAGTTTTCTGAAAAGCCGTTAGACGTTCTAACACTGCAATAGATACAAGGCAAGCCAGAACCTCTTGTGAGTGAACCATTGGCTGTTACATCTCTGGCTTATCAGAAATACAATATATAATTCTGAATAAGGCATCTTCCTTTTTAAAAAATATTTTATAAAGATCTGCCCAGGCTGAAATTTAAATTGAAATGTCTTTTTTTTTTTTCCTCCTCTCTCTCCCTTATTTAGCATCTTTCCTTCAGCTGACCAGGAAAACACTACAACACTGATTCCTGCTACGCATAACACGGGTGGCTCCCTGCCAGACCTGACGAACATCCATTTCCCTTCCCCTCTCCCGACACCGCTAGATCCTGAGGAATCCACCTTCCCAGCCCTGAGTAGCTCCAATAGTACCGGAAATCTCGCTGCCAATCTGACTCACTTGGGCATCAGCACTGCCAGTCAGGGTAAGATCAGAACTCCCAGGTGTTTCTGCAGATTGCCCATAATATGTAGCTTGTCTTAAATTATGGAAGTTGCATTGCTGAATATTACTATTTTGACTGAGGGGTAATTGTGCGTCACTGATTGACATGTCTTTGTAAACCAGTTTTATCAAGCCATTTCTGTACGGACAGGTGAGAAAGCTGTAGTTAGTTATATGCCTTACAAGTTGTCTTTCCTTTTTCTCATGTGCTTGGTGCCCAAATCCGCTTTTGGGTTTTTTTTTGTGTATTTATTTTAAGTATAAACTACAAGAGAGACTAGCATCCAAAGCATGCCTCTCTTGTAATTCGTTGTACTTAACCCAACAGCACTTGTGTTATGGAAATATCTTAAGTGGGCCTTTTGTTTTCATTCCTTTAGAATGGGGTTGGTTTTTTTTTCAGTGTGAGGATCTTTTGGAGAGAGAACATTGCTTCATCTGAAGCAGATTTTCTCTTTTGAGTGATCAAGAATAATGTGGAGCCTTTACAAGGTGTAGTTTTTGTAAGCTTGGCTGCTGAAGTTCTGAAAATATCCTGAATGTTCAGGCTGCGTAATCTAGCAGGGCTGTGGGAAATAATACCAAGTGCACACCTTCATTTCTCACGGCTCGCACTATGGTGGCTTTGTGTTGGAATTGTTGCCCTCTTAGCAGTGTAGGTTTTGTTGCGAGTTCTTCTCAGGCGCTGTTGCTGTTTGAGCTGTTGAGCGTGGTGAGTCTGGGTCGTGAGTGTTTGTTGGAGCTTTTGGGCTTTGGCGGTACTGATAATTTTATTTAAAAAAAAAACCCAAACATAATTTGCCATGCTGGCAATTTATAATGCACTGATCACTTGATCATTTCAGGATTAAATGTAACTTTGTAGGCAAAGAGCCTAAACTGGTGATTGTTATTTTTTAACTAATTTCACCGGGTCATGCTTGAACAGTTGTGAAGAGGGTTGCATTTTTTTATTGTCACTGACAATTGCAGTCAGTTGATTCCTAGAATAGAAATAAGGCACTGTATCCAAAAATACAAGTATATTTCCTGTGTTAGGCAGGATTCCCTCACCCACTTAAAAATCCTCTCATATATTGGGAAAAGGAAATCATTTTCATCAGGTTAATGTAGCATTATGACTGAGCAGTTACATTTAAGAATGAAGCAAGAAGACGGTTTAACCGTTTGAGTACAGTCGGTCAGCAGCTTTCAGCATCCTTGAACAAGTTTTCCACTCTCAGAAGAGACTGTCCAGAGTTTCAGAGATGGGCTGTGACTCAAGTAGAACCCGTCGAGTCTGTCCTGAGAGCACTGTTGTGTGTATAAAAAGAAACAAACTACTTGCATGGAGTTGGGCCAGACTGGGTCACTAAATTTTTTGCCATACCCGTAATTAGCAAAGTAAACGGTATAAACCCAAACTGGTAAGTATGCAATTGCTTTGAAAACATTTCCTGATCTATCAAAGACAGAACAAATGAGAAAGATACGCTCATTGATGATTTTCCTGCTTCTCTTTGGAGACTATCCCATAGTTTAATCATTGACAGAGTCAGTTTTTCCAAACGCTCCTTGTCTATCTTCTAGCTCTTTAGCAGAAAACATAAAGGCTTTTGAACCTTTTGCAGGAGCTCTGTGCCTTGCACAAGCATGCCCTCAGCAGCCCCAAGAAAAGGTGGGGAAACAAACACCTGCCAGGTTGCAAAGAACTGCCAGCAATTGAAGACTGCACATTTGTGCATTTGAGGTTGTCAGTTCGCTGACATGTTCCGTGAGACGGTGTTGATTTTGAAAACATGGCAGGGGAAGCCAGGCAGTCTTCAGAATCTGTGCGGTTTGCCTGCTGGCTCCTTGGCAGCCCGGACTTCCTGGCTCCCTGGCAGCCTGCCTGGAAGCCTTGAACATTTGCCAGGTGCCTAGGAGCTCTCAAGCTCTTGTGAATTCCTCCTTTCTGGCAGCTTTAGAAGAACAGCTCGCTAGCTAGATTGTCCTGAACTTACTTTCCAGGGTGTCTCGGTTCCTCTAGGGTGAGGCAGAAAGTAGGAGAGGTCTCAAAACTTCCAGATTTTTGTCTAGAATTTGAGCGAAATTACAATACTTGAATTGCTTATCCCAACCGCCTGCTAGGTTGTGGCTTTTTAAGAGTGAGAAGGATATTTTCTGCCTTCCTGTGCACTGCTATGCCATTAAAAATGGAGTGCTTCCTGTGTAACCAGTTTTTCTTCTGCATTTTCCATTAAATAGGTGTTTGCTTTTATAATATCTCAAGTGCCCTCTGATAAGTCTTGTTATGTGATCTGTTATCTTCTTCCTGAAGTTTGAGCCCTTGCAAATAGAGCAGAATGTGCTTTTGCTGGGTTCGATTTCCTGGTTTGCAAGAACGATACCCATGGTTTCTGTACACTGCTGAAGCTGCTCTGCCTGTTTCATTTCCAAGTCCGCATCTGTGCGTGAACCTGAACAACCGTGACTGGTTTTGATCCAGGATAAACCACAGGGATCTTCCTCTCATCCTGATGCTCTTCAGCCTGACAAAATTAATTGCAAATTAGCCAACGAGTTTCAGCCTGATTGGCCGAGTTGCATTCAGCACTTTGCATTAAGTGGTTGTCCACTTACGCCACTCATTTTTCATTGTTTAGGTAATTACCTCCATACAACTATCAATAAACCATTGCTCTGTTCCCATGTAAGCTGGTTTGTTCCTTCCTGGCAGGAATGACGACGACACCAGCCCCTTCCCAGCAGCACCGTCAGCCAGCCGTCAGTCCTCTCTCGTTGAGTGCAGACTCCAGACGACCACAGTCACAGCAGATGTCTCCTACGCTTTCCCCTTTGTCACCAATCACTCAGGTAGGAACTTACTTGGTGAATTAATTTTTTTTAATCACAGATGAGTTGTTTTACGTTAGCTTGGGAGAAGCTGGCTGTGACTTCATCTCTCTTGTTTGGCAGTTTTTCTTCTTTAGTTGTGTTCATGAATTCAGAGCCTTAAGAAGAGAGATGTTTGCAGAGGGGATAGTTTTTACTTTCGCTTTTCTAGAACAGCCATTGGGACGCTTTTCTGTAAAGTATTGTCCCAAAGTTAGTTGTGAAATTTGAAAGACGTTTCTCGAATTCATGAGAGAAGCTCAGTTAGCTTTTAAAATGGATTTCATAAGAAGTGTGACTCTGTGACTGACTAGGTTAGCAATTTCTGACCTGGACATTCAACTGGGCTTTCAGAGTATTTGTTTATTGTACACTAGAGGTGACATTACGTCTTTTGAAACATGTTCTTGGCTGTTTCTGAACCTTTAGGTAATATTTTTCAGATGCAAGATGAGGTTGACTTAGTACAGTTCTCTTGGTGTGAAACTTGATGTGCTTCAAAATCAGGGGAAATTACCTGCCAGTGTGGATGATTTTGATTCTTCTTTTTAAGGCCGTGGCTATGGATGCATTGTCTCTGGAGCAGCAGCTTCCCCCATATACATTTTTTAACCAGACAACTTCCCAGCAACAGCAGCAGACCCAGGTGGCAAGTACCCTGCCTCAGAATACTCCTTTAATGCAGACCTCTGGTTTACAGCGAGGAACCCAGCTCCCCCCGCTCTCCGTCACGGTACCTTCTACCATCCCACAGTCGCCTCCGGGCAGTCAGACCCAGCCGTCAATGGGAATAGACATCAACTCGGTAAGCTTGGGCACAGCTGGAAGCGACAGAGCTTTCAGTGGGAAAACCCGGTAGCGTGCAGTGTAGGGTCAGAGATAAGCTGGACAGACACCGTAATAACTGTACGTTTAGGTGGAGTCTGAGGTAGGCTGAAAATGTTTGTGGTTCAATCCACATCTGAATGTTTTAAAGAGGAAAATGTGGTTTTAATGTGTGGTTAGGGTGGCCAGATTTTCATAAAATGGTGTCCCTTACCGACTCCAGGTTTGATTAGACCAGCTTAAATATATTAGCATTGATTTCATACCTTGCTGCTGCCATTGCATGGATAGATTTTCAGGCTGTTAAATGTAGCGCACCCCCAACACCTTGTGTGTTACGCAGTGGGCTAGAGACTGGAGGAGTTAACAGAACTTTGGTAAAGAAACCTGCTAACAAGCATTTTCCAAAAGTTGGAGAGAAAGAGGTGTTTTCTATACTTTCTATATTTAGAACCCTTCCAAAGAAATGCAGTGCGTGCATACACATAGCAGTGATTTACGGACGGATTTTTTTTTTTTTTCTTGTTTTACCGTGGTCTGTTATGAAATGTTTTCTCTGTCTCTGCATACGAAAATCCAAAATGCAGAGCAAGATCAGGGTTACAGGCTAGCTAGGGAAGAATTTCACAGTTGGTTCTCTGCTTGTTCTGCCCTACCGTGTAGGATCTGGGTTGTCTCGGCTGTTGTGGCCTCCTGGCAGTATTGTAGTGACAGTAATTGGCTTGAGAAAGAGAAGAAATCATTCTCTGTTGATCTAGCACTTGATTGTGGATTTCATTTGTGGATGAAATTTTTAACAGTTTGTGCTGACAAGTACTCCTTGAAAGAAGCTGCTTCCCTTTCAGGGTTGGAAGGGGAAGAGGAAGGACAAATCCAGCAGTGGGAAGGATACCAGCCCACTCACAATGTGTCCCCGTGTTTTGATTCTGATACTCATGTAGCTACCAGTGCAGATGATTCTGATTTTCATTCTTTGCTTTCTGTGTTGCTTTCCTCATCCTAAACTTCTTTATGACCTTAACTTTTAGGTGCTTTGCTTATCTCTTAAAGCAACTGAAATAATACATAAATACACTGAAGTATAAAGCTAGTTTATCAAAAAGCCATTTGAGCTGCATTGGTCTCACTGACAACTTCAGTGCAGTTTTCCTAACGCAATACTGAAATTCGTTTTGCTGTAGTTTGAATGTCTGCTTAAAGTGTGTAAGTAGCAATGCATAGCAGAAAGGGTTAAGACCTATTTTCTTGGGATTTACAGAATTCCGTGCCAGCAAGCATCGGTAATGCAGCGTTCTCCCACACTGCAAAGCTATCAGATTAAATTACTCCTTTTCGTAGAAATGGATTGCAGGTTTTCCTCAATCATCAGTTTAATTTCTAAAGGAAGTATAATGGGAAGAGCTGTACTTACTATTTATGTTAATTAGTGCAACATTTTACTTAAATGCCATTAAGATTATTAATTTGTTGAAATCCAGGGTTGCTTATAACCAAAAAAAAGGTAACTCTTTGAAAAAATGTCTCAGAATGACTCAGGACAATGTAAATATAACTAATATAAACCTGCAAAACATAATGTGAATTCACAGACAATGTCTGCTCCGTGGCCTGGGGTAAAACACAGCTTTGAGCAGGGTTCCAGTCTGCGTGGTTATACACTTCAATCTTGATAACGCACCCAGGCTACTGAAACCTGGGCAGAGTGACCGGAGAAGGATTTCCAGAGCAGCGTAAACACAGGTTAAGAATGTGTGGGGATGGCAGCTGAAGAAAAAAATTACATTTTTTTTTTTTAGTTATTCCCGGCTTTCAGGACTTCTCTTCCCTAAATAGTTGGCTGACCAGATTTTTTTTTTTAATTGAGCATAACTGAGAACAGGGAGAAAATATTTCAGCGGTTTTGCTTGTCCAGCAGCAGTGCCCTGCTCTCAGCCGTTCAGTCAGACAAGACCGTGCCATGCTGACACCTGAACTCTCTCCTTTTTGCGGCATTGTTCACAGTAATTGTGTCTTCATACATAGCCAAGAATTGCTGAAGAGGATGGTTTCTCCCAGTTTCCTCGAGCTGCATACACCAGAGTTTTACAATTTTCCAACCTTCCATCAATCCCATGGTCTTTAATTCTGTGTTGTTCTGTAGGCTTCACTCCAGCAGTACCGCAGTAATGCTGGGTCCCCAGCCAACCAGTCTCCCACCTCTCCTGTCTCCAATCAAGGCTTCTCTCCTGGCAGCTCCCCTCAAGTAAGGGACTCTGTGCTTCCACAGGCCTTGCTTCTTGTGCGTGTTTTTAGTTGAGTCTCTCCATTACTGACCCATAGTTGTCTCACTGTAATTGTATGTGCTTCATGCATTACCGATGTCTCATCTTGTTTGCAGTTTCATTCAGTTCCAGAGTTTTTCAATAGCTGGTGAATTGCCTTTTTATTGATCAAGGTTACTGCTTGAACGCTATTAAAACTCAGTGATTTCTGTGGGGTGTACTGTGGACAGGACCTCCAGGTAGACCCCTTTCAGTCAGCAGGACGGTGTAGGAGCTGACGGATGAGGTTGGGAGGGCAGAGGAGAGACAGAGGGAAACTGAAGTGCCTCCCGCAGCAGGATAACTCCTGTGGCACTGAATATCGCTTGCGTGGCCAAAAGCGTTTACATCAGCACCTTTTTTTACGTGGCAACGTACACTTGGAAAGAAAACGCTGGAGAAAATACTCTTCAAATTAGCAGTTGTATCTTGTGGCTTGCAAGTAATGGGTTAGTAAACACGCTTTCTTGCATGCTAGCTGGTTTTTCTTCCTGTGTATGTATATGCTCATACATCCACGTGCCCTATATGCAAGTCATAACTTGGTGTGTGTGTAAACCCATGAAAGGGAGTTCTTATTTGCCAGCAGCAAGGCAGTTAAAAACAAGGCAGTCTCTGAGGGTGTCTCTAAGGTAAGGGAGTGAGGGTATTTTCAGTACAGAAATAATCTGATGCTGCTAAAGCAGCTCCGTATGGCTGCCCTGGTCCTAAATCCCACCTGTTGAAATGAGGTGCAGGACAATTCATACAGAACATTGCGACAGAGTCTGAAAATACATTTTTCTGTTTCATCGTTTAACGTTTAAGGCTGTAAGGAGGACCCTATCTAAATAAGTGCTGCCCCTTCATGGTTCCAAAGCAGAAGCTTCGTCTCTCCTTGCCATTAGCCAGAGACAGGTCACTGGTAAGCTCAGTAATAGATCCGGGTGTCAGGATTGTCTGGATTTTCTTAACCCTTGCTTAATTGCCTCTTAACTTCTCTCTCTGCTGCCTGCTTCTGCCATTTCTGCCGTGTTCTGTGTGTGGCTCAGAGAAAACAAGCAAACTGATTCCTCTAGGCTGTCACGTAGAGCAAAGCTGTTGCCAGGCTTGCTGCAAATCTCAGGTCCAGTTCTCATTTGGGCAGTGCATCCGATTTTGGTTTTTGCCTTGATTTCCTTTGCCCCTTGACTGCTCAGTAACTCTCTCCTGGTTTTGTCCATAGTCTTGTTGCCACTGGTCAGTCCCAAGTACTGGAGTGCAGCAAGCACTGCCCAGTGGAGCACGCTCCTGGCTACGGCTTTACCTGCTGGGCCTGTTTTACCCTGTAAACTCTTGCTTAGGTTTTGCTGTTTTCAAATGGGACGCCATAACTCTGCGTGAAAGGAAGAGGGTTTATTAATGCTGCTTACGTTAGTATTGGCCTCTTAAAAATACCCACACAATTCTTTATTTTTGCTAAAATAAAACTAAGACCGCTTTCCTGCCTCCATCAATGAACCAGAAGGTAGTAGTGGTGAGCGAGCTGTCTGTGGTGGCGGACCTCTTAAGGCTGCAAATACTAAGCGTGGTGAGAAGCAATGGGGGAAGAAAAAAACCAGTTCGGAAGGAAAATTTGGGTTGGTTGTGATTATGGAGGCAGGTCCCAAATAGCAGGATCCATTAGCCTGTAGAGTAACCTGCCAAGAGTAGAGGCAGGCTGGTTCCGACAGCTGAATGTGCCCGTTGTGGAACAGTCTGGCACTGGCTGACGAGAGGGGAATAAAGTAGGTGTGACCTGGTAGGCGTCCTCCACTTCCTCCTGTTCCTCTGATTAATTTTAGGTTAAATCGTTCTGCAGCGTATCAGCATGATGAGTGACACGCTCTAAAAACAGAAATCTGCGGTTTGATTTTTATCGCATACGGTTCATTCACCAGAAGTGATTTTTCATCTTTCCACATCTCCAAATCTATTTGCTCTTGTGTTTTAGATGTGTGTGTTACATGAAGGTCTTCCTGTTCAAACACGAATTGAAAAGCTCTGCTTGTAGTTCTCCGCTTTGTGTTTGCATGGCTTTTCATTGACAATGGCTTGTTTATTACTACTTCGCTTTTCTCCTCTAACACCTGGCGGACTGTTCCAATTAGATAGAAAGCTGCTTTTTTTAGTAGAATGGCTGTATACTGGATAATATGGTATGTATTTTTAGATTAATAATTTAAGCCAGGGGTTTTGTGGTTTGGGGTTTTTGTCTTGCAGTCACCACATCATTAACCCAAGAAGATGTACTGTTGACAAAACAGACCTCATCTAGTGTTTCTGGAGGAGATGGTGTTAGCAAGATGTTTTCCACCGAGTTGTCGATAAATTATTCTAGGACTCTGAAGTGTTGAAGTAATGACATTTCCAGCTGATTTCCTTTGGGAGAGTCAGTGCTTACAGATGTAATAACCGCTGTACTTCAGAGCTGAGGAATAAATACGGGCTTGTATGTTATGTTAGGAGTTACTAACGTAGACTTGCACAAGTAGATTTCGGTCGCCTGTTTATTATTTTTCATGTTGCCCAAACTTTTTAGGATGGAAACAGTGCTTAGTGGAATGCAAAGGTTTGAGACTTTGCCCTACTTCCGAAAAGCTCCTGTAAAAAGGAAATGTCGTAAGTTAAAGGAAAAAAAATGCCTTGATCTTCTCTGGAGCTCTCGAATAGCAATGGTATTTCTACCGCCGGTCCAGACTGGCTTTGATTCACGTTGTGTATGTGACATCCTGAAGCGCAAATTTTTCATTAGAAACTGTTATAAAACATCACACAGTTCTGAAGCTGTGCCTGCCGCTTCAGAGGGGAGTGATTTTCCCCTGATAGAGTTAAGCTTGGCTGGTCCTGCTGTGCATGCAGAGTTAGCGCTACGCTCTGGCTGCATCTTGGTTTGTTGTTTTTTGTTTTTTTTTTAGAAGAAAGTCAGAGATGCACCAGGTTGAATAAAGTGGAGTTTGAGTAGCGGATCAAAGTGTGACCGGGCAACGAGTGAGGTGTTAGTGGTTTAAAGAAAAATGCAGTGGTTTGTTCTGTAGTGCTTTGCTTTTTCTTTTGTCAGGTGTAATGTGGCTCTCACTTGTGAGGTCTGGTAGCTTCCTCGTAGCCCTGTCTCATGTGAGGGACAGAGCAGCCACCATAGTTCTGAGGACCAGATGATAAATTGGAGGACCGGTTCCGATTACAGCTGTTGTCCATTTTTGCCTGCTTCCAAGGAGGGCATCAAGTAGGGTGTTAAGCTGCAAAGATGTCATTGTTGTTCTGTGGTCATTGCTGTGACAGATCATAAATGCCCAGGAAAGTGAATCAAAATCTTGCTTTTGTCCATAAAACCTTATTCTTGGCTCAGGCTCTGTTCAGTGAGTCTTGAGAATGAGCTGGCTTCGTTTAACTTTTGTCCATAAAACCTTCTTCTTGGCTCAGGCTCTGTTCAATGAGTCTTGAGAATGAGCTGGCTTCGTTTAATTAAACCATTTCTTACTGAGAAGTTACCATTACGATCTTCTCTGACAAAGATTTGGAGGCGGTTGTCTGCTGCCGTTGCTGACTCTGCCCGTGTCAGACGTTAAGGTGCAGCACCCTGCAGGTCCCTAGGGCTTGCGTTTCCAGTGTCCTGGCGTTACCCAGCAGCGCTGTTCTGCAGCAAATCTCTCTCTTCTCCGAGTGCGATCAGATCGTACCCGCACCCTCGCATGCAGCCGGTGGAAGGCGATGCCTGGCGGTGACGCTCGGAGCAGCTCTTGGATCAAACAGGATCTGCTCAGCAAGCAGTTCTGTAGCACGCGCAGCGCGTGCTGAACTTTCAGCCACCTTCCCCCACGGAGTCTCGCTCTCGGGCTGTGAATCCCTCCCTTGGCGCCACATTTATCCCAAAGCAATATAATGTGATAGCTGGGGATTCTGGCTGCAGGTGGAAAGGTTTTTGTTTGCTTTATAAAGAATATATTGTTGCTTCTGTCCTGATAGTCCCCCCTCCTGGAGGTGGTGGGCAATTTAGTTGTGTTGGGGTTTTTTTTTATGCAAGACTTCCATTCCTTTCCTTGCATGCAGCCTGCAAGGTAAGCTGCGCTGAGGTAGCCCCTGAGGCAGGAGGGAGAATGTTTAAAATGTGACGTTTGCCGAGATTTTTATGTTCACTGTTGTGGACATCATCCTGTGTTTTTTGAAAATCTTTGGCTGTGTTCAGTGCTTTTAACTGTGGTGTCTTCTGTAACTCTGTTTTGGGATTTCCTAGGCTTTTGCTTAATTGCATCTGCTGATTAGGTTGCTGAGGAGAAAATTTGTAGCCTTCCTCTTTTAACGTGTAGGTAAAACAGCTGGAAAATGCTATGCAAGGTATTGAATTTTTCTCCAGGGTTGATACAAACTCTCCATGCAAATTGTTTTTTCTAGACATCATCTTTTGTAGATGCTCTCTTTGGCAGTAGATGTTTTGTTTCCAGCTGGAGTATCAGAATTAGCGACAGTTCCAAGTAAGAAGTGATCTCTCTGTGATGTCTTTTATACCTGGCAGTTGTTTGGGGCAGTACTGAATAGTATTAAAACATTGACCTCAAATTCTTGGTCACGTTTAGAATAGTGGATGAATGGTGGAGAATAACTGATAAACGCTTGTTGTACTAGAGGGGAAGGTAAAATTAGCAAGGCTGAGGAGTTCCTCCTGAGATTCTTTGCCTTTGAGCTGCTGCTAACTTGCTTTACCGGGCTTTCTCGTTAACTTTTCTGACCTGGAGCTAAAGTGCAGCGACTTTAAAACGTCAGTTTTGTTGTGGCCTCCTGTTGTCTCTGTGAAGCTGGCTGTTCTGTGAGCGCGAGGTTGCGGGGACGGCGAGCTGGTCCCTGCCCGCGTGCTGGTGAGCAGCTTTGCATTGCATTTTGTGTTAACCTGCAGTTGAATTCTGTGTGGGGTTTGTCTTTCACCAACACCAAAAAGCGGTTCACAAAGAAGCTGGAGTTGCAGAGCGGTTTTATTTCTCGTGTTACCTAGCGCACTCGTCTGTATTCGTAAATCCGGAGTTTTATATGTTGTGTGTCCTCTGTGAGGAAGTTTGTTCGGTTTCCTTGACTGTGTTTTTGTGCTTGCCGAAAGGCAGCGTAACACGGGAGGATTGGTGTGTTGGAGGGAAACCCTGAGCGTTCTGCCAATGTGCTGATGGTCAGTGGTTGTTAATAATGAAGGGCACTGCTAACTAACTTGGAGAAGGATCGGTCGGAAGGCTCGAGTCACTCGCACGCCGTGGGTACCTCTGTTTGTGAGATTTTTGCACCATAAAGACTCTGTTTTGTTTTCAGCATTCTTCCATTCTGGGGAGTGTTTTTGGTGACTCCTATTATGATCAGCAGATGACAGCTAGGCAGGCTAATGCCCTATCCCATCAGGTGAGCAAATTCATCTCGGATTTTCAGCTGTATTTCGGCCACTTTCAGCTTAAAATAAATATAGAACAATTTCTGATTATTTTATGCGAGATCACATTTTGTCCATATAAGTTTCCTTCTGTTATATTTAGTTTGCAATACTCGGGGCTTTATTTTCTTCTGGTCACCCCCCCCCTCCCCTTCCCCTTCCTCCCTCTTAGCCATTGTAGCAGATGTTTTTAAAGGTGTTCTGCCAAGTTTATCGGATTAAAAATAATGAAAATAGATTTCTGCAAATCCACATTTCTGGCCGTAGTAGCATTTGGGAAGGATTCACTTGTGGATGGTTTACTCCTGAATTTGTCAGACGAGTCGTGCACGGTACCAAAACCCAGCAGGCAGACCCGTGCCTTCGTTCGTGTGGCCAGCGAGCGCATTGAGTCATTCGGCTGTGAAATACGCTCTGGTGGCAGGAAAAAATCAGGTGGCTACTGAGAGGCAATGCTTGATGGGCAGATACCTGAGTTAGTAGCGTGAATTATGGGGTTTTTCACTTTGTTTTAAAGCTACCTTTTCTTTTGTTCTTACAATATCAAAAGCAACAATTTTATTTTTGCATCTACCCTCTCCTCATTCCCCTGCCCTCTGAATTTGGCAGTAAACGCTTCTGGAAAGTTAAGTGAAAATAGACTGTATTTTGATCAACGAAACCTAAAGATGAATTTGTTTGCCTGTCTCTTTCAACATTTCTTCCCGTACTTGAGCTTTGTAAGTTGTTCTGCTGTATTTCCTGATGATCCGAAGTAATAATTCCTTTGTGCCTTGGTCTTCAGCTTGAACAGTTTAACATGATCGAAAACGCCATTAGTTCCAACAGCCTGTACAGCCCTTGCTCCACCCTGAACTACTCCCAGGCAGCCATGATGGGACTCACCGGCAGTCACGGCAGCTTGCAGGACTCGCAGCAGCTGAACTACTCCAGCCACGGAAACATCCCCAACATCATTCTTACAGGTGAGGAAATCGCAGGCTGAACTGACAAGCAAAACCCACCCGGTGTCGGCGTTTCTCTTTGTGGTGCGATGTTAGAAGTGAGCCAGGGAAGCAAAAGGGTATTGTTGCCTTGGAAGGTTTTGTTTCACCTTGTGTAAATGTTCGTGTTACCGGCCTGGCGTATTTCCCGAGTGCCGGGGAGCCCAGCGGCTCTGATGTCGTCCCAGCAAGCAGGTGGAGATGCAATGGCAGCACTAATTGTCTTACACACCTTCCCTGCCCCCGAATTTACTGGATCCTCAGCTGCAGTGAGGGAGAAGTGCCAAAAGCCAAACTTCTTCCTCTGCTGCTCTGTTCAAGCTTGCCAAGAAATGATTTTTCGTGTCACATATGGTAGCGGATCCGGTCACGGCTGGACGTTTGGAAACAATTTCTGCACAGGCCACTGAGAAAACTGTGGCTCAGCCGGTGTTTCAGCCAAGGAACCCTGGCCGATTGGAATCGTGTACATTTAAGGTTGTTGCTCCTAAACCTAAAGGAGAGAAAAGAGACTCAAGTGACACCACTTTGTGGCCCCCAAATAGACGTATGTGAATTTTGCTTTGCGTTAGGTCGTTGTGATGGTTTGAGATGCGCTGACAAATCTGTAATTCGTCCGGCTGGACGTGAGGATAGAAGTTTCTCCTCTGAACTTCAGCCTTTGTTCGATAAATGATCCCAGAATTTTTGCAAGCTGTTTTATGACTCGTCTGCTTGGACAATGTGTATTTGCTAAGTCTTACCAACACCTTTCTCTTCCTCTGCCCTGCAGTGACAGGAGAATCTCCTCCCAGCTTATCAAAAGAACTGACCAGCTCTTTGGCAGGAGTGGGAGACGTCAGCTTTGATACGGATTCCCAATTCCCTCTGGATGAACTCAAAATTGACCCTTTAACCTTGGATGGACTGCACATGCTGAACGACCCAGACATGGTCCTCACTGCCCCCGCCACAGAGGACACGTTCCGGATGGACCGGCTGTGAAGCGCGGACACCAGGAGCGTGGGAGTGACGCTCGTTCCTGGAGCCCAGCCGAACCAGAGCCCGACGGGTCAGTCGTGTCAGAACAGGAGCTGCCGAGAGCAGCAGCTCTGTCCTGTACAACATGTACCATGAGTAAAGCTTGTCGTTCTGAGCTTGCAGCGCTGCAGACCCCTACTCCCTGTCGCGCCGTATTTCACCCCGAACCCACTCATCGCCACTGATGAGCAAGGAGTTTCCGTCAGCCTTTTCCTCTCCAGAGCCCCCCCCTTCCTCCCACCGAAGCTCCAGCGTTGTCGATTTATCCTTTGCACTAGAGAGGGGGTGTTTGGGGGCAGGCGAGGAAGGTCCGCAGCCAAGGGTAAAGAGATTCTTTCTAACGTACCAAATTGTTGGCCGCTGTTTGAGACGGGGAGGGGGAAGCCCCCTCTCCCCCCCCACTGATTCGGCAGCAAAGCTCTGCAGTTCTGCACTGCTGCCCTCTGGGAGGGGCTGGGGGGGCTTCGGCGGTCCCGGCGCTGCTTTGTGACAGCTGCTTCGTCAGGCGAAACGCTTCTCCCTCCGTCGATATGCCCTGTTTGTTTCCAGGTTCGCTTCCTTGCCTGTCGTCCTGCTCCCTCTGCCTCCTCCGGGCCCTGAGCAAACGCGCGTACTTGGCCAAGCGGCAAAGCAGCCTGGCGGCCCGATGGCCTGCGGTAGCTGGCTAGTCGAAAAAGGCAACTGTAAACACTATTTGCAAAGCTTTTTTTTTTTTTAAAAAAATATATATGTGATATATATATTTATAAATATATGTATACATATATATAGCATTTCTGAGCACACAAAAAAGTACTATAATTCATTACTTGATTAGCACGGAGGAAGGATCGGAACATTTCAAAGCAGCTAAAAGAATATAGGAGACTAACTTGCAGAGCGTGTTTCTAGTTTTACTTTGTGAGAGATTCCTGGGCAACAGGAAGGGCATTTCTGTAGCAATGCCTGGCTCAAATCATGAGGACTATTTTTTATTTTTTATTCTTATTCATTACTTATTCTGTTACCATTATTTATGATCTTTTTGGTTTTTTATTTAAGTATTTGGATATTAGGAAAGTAGCTAAACTACATACAGCCAGTTGAAGCACTCTACATAATACTTGTACAGTACATCTTTTTTGTGTTTTTATTCCAGAAATATATTATATATATTATATATATAGGTATTTTTAACTAACTGGAATTTTAAACAGATGTTGAGCAGAAGTAAGGAAGCCTGAGGCAAGTCTAGATGTTTTCCTTTTGTATAGTCAAAAGAGGGTGGCAGGAACTTAGATATTCCTTCTTTCACCCTGGGGAAATATAGCTTGCTCCGCAGTGACCAGTACTGTGTCCTCGCAGAGGTGGAGAGTCTGTTGACGTTATAATTGACTATTTCTGTTAGTCCTTGTTCGTATGCTGTGCTGCCCTTTAACGGACTGGTGAACGACACTTTATCAGTCGCAGGCTGAAAAACCCCCAAACCCTGGAGCACCGCTTGGCCCCGAGCTGGTGGCTTCGCTGCGGTGGCCTGGCTGCACTGGTGAGGATTCCCAGAGCTCGGTGCCTGGGGCTCTTACCAAGCTTCAAAATCGTACTGAAG